CGTTTGCTTTTTTAATTGCTTCTGCAGCTCTGGTGCGGGCAGCTTGCAGAATTTCGGCGAATTGCTGTGCACGTGGTGTGGGGTTGTCCGGACTCGGCGTCATGGGCACTGTAGGATTTTGCCCGTAGTTCAGGTAGAAGGGGGACTGCTGCGTCGTCGCTGATGTGGCGTTGTTGTACGCGAACTCGATCAGCGGCAGCTGCTATTCCCAAGTCGTAGGGTCGTCGCACGTGGCACGAATCAACTGCTCCATCGTCTGATTCGTCCGCTCCGTTTGACCGTCGGTCTCGGGGTGGTACGACGAACTGAACTGTAGCCTGGTCCCGAACTGCTCCCAGAGGTTCTTCCAGAAGTTGCTGGTGAACTTCGTGTCCCTGTCGCTGATAATCGCTGCTGGTATCCCGTGCAGACGAACAACGGCTGCGATGAACAGACGAGCGGTCTCCTCGGCTGAGATCGACTTTTTGCACGCAGCGAAGTGTGCCATCTTCGTCAACCTGTCAACGACGACCATCACCGCGTCGTTACCCCCAGGGTTCGAAGGTAACCCTGTGACGAAGTCCATGGTAACCTGCTGCCAGGCGCGCTCGAGCGGTGGTATCGGCTGCAATTGACCCGCCTTCCTTTTCTTCGAGCTCTTCATCACCTGACACATGGGGCACGAGCCCACGTGCTGCTGCACGTCGGTCAACAGCTCCGGCCAGTAGTAATACCGCTGCAGTTGCTGTCGCATTTTTTCTACCCCAAAATGTCCCGAGGTAATTCCGTCATGTGCCTCCTGCAGTAGCAGCTCCCTCAGCAGTGAGTACGCGGGTACCCAGATGCGGTTGGTACCTGTTTTTACGTAATAAACTCCTTTAACTTCTGCCAGTTGCTGTGAATTTCCGGTCGTGAAAAACGGGTCGGTGCGATATCCGTGGGTGAATAGGCCTGTTAAAAGCGGGTTGGTTTGGGCGAGTAGGATGGCATGGAGTTGGGCGGTAGGGCGAGTGAGTGCGTTGGCGATGTTGGAGGCGCCTTTCTTGTACGTTACTGTGTAGTGGAAGTTGGACTCGAGGTAGTCCAACCAGCGAATCTGTCGCGGATTGAGATTTGGTTGGGCGCGTAGGTACGGTAGTGATCGGTGGTCTGTCCGTACTGTCACGTCGGCGCCAGTCAGGTAACACCGCCAAACCTTGAACGTGTGCACAATCGCCAACATTTCGCGGTCGTGTATCGGGTAGTTGCGTTCGGGCGGGTGCAGCTTGCGGGACTCGTACGCGATTGGCTGGAGGCCGTTCCCGAAATCCTGCAACAGTACTGCTCCCACAGCGATGTCACTTGCGTCAGTGACGAGCTCGAACGGACGGTGTGGATCTGCGATGTGAAGCACGGGCGGTGAGCAAAAAAAAAAATTGAGGGCCGAGAAGGCAGCTTGCTCTTTCTCCCCCCACGTGTACTCAACCCCCTTCCTCAGCAGGTCTGTCAGCGGGGCAGTCAGCTTCGCCATGTCGGGGACGAACCGGCGCACGTAGTTGACGAACCCCAAAAAACTATGCAACTCGGTCAAGTTGGTCGGCGCGTGCCATGCTTGAATCGTCGCAATTTTCTTCGGGTCTATTTCCACTCCTGCAGCTGAAATAACGTGTCCCAAAAATTCCAGGCGGTCCTGTAAAAACTCACACTTAGACGCTTTTGTCAGTAGGCGGTCCTCACTCAGTATTTTAAAAACTACTTCGATGTCCTATAAGTGCTGTGCTCTGTCAGGGCTGTAAATCAGTATGTCGTCCAGGTATACGATGACGCACTTATCTAAGAGCGGGCGGAAAGCTTCGTTCATGGTCATTTGAAAAGTGGCGGGGGCGTTGGTCAGTCCGAAGGGCATGACGGTGTATTCGAAGGATCCGTAGCGTGTTCGAAATGCGGTCTTAGGGCAGTCGGGCGGATTGACGCGAATCTGGTGGTAACCCCCTCGGAGGTCGATTTTCGAGAAAACCCGGGCTGTGCGCAGTTGGTCGATCAGTTCGTCGGCTCGCGGGATGGGGTAACGGGATTTGATGGTAACCCTGTTCAGTGCTCTGTAATCTATGCACATGCGAAATCCCCCGTCTTTTTTCGGTGTGAACAGTATCGGTGCTGCGAAGGGCGACGAACTAGGGCGAATGAATTCCTTCTCGAGCAGGTAATCGAGCTGCTTCCTCAGTTCGTCCAGTTCGGGCTGGGTCAGTCGGAACTGTCGCTGTACTGTTGGCTGTGCCCCCGGTTCTAACTCTATCCTGTGGTCGTGCGGTCGCTGAGGTGGCAGTCCCGTCGGTAAATCGTCCGGGAAGATGTCGCTGTACTGTTTCAACAGTGCTGCCAGGTCACTCGGTATGTCGGCCAGCAGTTTCTGTAAATCCCCTCCTGTGTCTGCTGCCTCGGCTTCCCGAATGTCGACCGGTACACGTCAGCTCCTGCCGCTACGGCGCGTTTCATCGTGATCGCGTTGACACGCACCGACGAAGACTCAGGCGAGCCCCAGCGAGGTAAGGCGATGTTGTTACCGTTCACTCGCACGGTGCAGTCACCCGTCGTCCAGTCGATTCGCGGATTGTGTCGTCGCAGCCAATCACGCCCAAGTAAAATATCGGTTCCGTCGAGGGTCGTTGCGAGCATTTCCTGGCTAAACGTGAAGTTACCCCCACATCGAATCCGAACCCGGTCTACACGTTCCCGTATCGCTAGCGGCGTGCCGTCTACCAGTCTTGCGTCGATCTCAGGTAAACATCTGTCTAGTGGCAGTCGCAGTTTCCGTGCTGTGGCAGTGTTGATGAGGTTGTGGCTGGCTCCCCCGTCTACGAAGATTTTTACTAAGTCCGTCCCAATTTTCCCACTAAGCAGTATGGGGCTGTCTACCGTAGTACCCTCCTTATTCGGCCGGGTGTGGTCGATTGCGTGAACCGGCACAATCACTCGGTGAGGGTCGGTTGGGTCGGGCGAGCGGCGTGACCTGTCTGCTACTGACTCCCAGCGTTTCCCTGCTGCTTGGTCTGTTTCTGCTGCTCAGCTTCCCCCTTTCCCTTAGCGTTTTCCGGGCATTCGCTCTTGCGATGTCCCGGCCGATTGCACGCAAAGCAGCGCCCTTTGAATGGTGCGGCAGCGGCATTTGCAGCGACGGCACGTATCGTGGCACCCTCGTTCGTCCCACGAGGCCGATGTCCCCAATGGCTGCTTCCGTAGGACCCCGGTCTCGGTCGGCGGAAGAAGTCAAGTTTCTCCGCCATAGCGAGAATTTCTTGAAAGTCGGTGACGCCGCGAAGCTGGATTTCCTGAGCGATGTCCTGCTTCAGGCCGCCGATGTAGCGGTCGATGCGCTCGCTCTCGTGCATATATCCTACCTGCTCGCATAGCGCCAGAAATCCGCTCGTGTAGTCTTGGACGGAACCGAGTTGGCGCCACGTGCGGAGCTTCTGTCGCGCCGCGATCGAAGCCGCGATTGGCTCGAAACGGGCGCGCAGACCTGCGCACCACGCGTCCCACGTGCGATACTGGGGCACCTCCACGAAATACGACGGCGCCCAGGGTCCGGTTTGTCCTTCCCGCGTCGGTAGAGTCGCGTAGTCCACCGGCTTCGTGACGATGACGCGCCACCAGTCCATGGCGGGTCCTCGCAGCAACGACACGGCGTAACGAATCTTCGCCGTATCCTCCGAGACGTAGTTCGCGTCGAAGAAAACGTTCAACGTGAAGAGCCACGCCTGAACGGTAGGACCACCCCGCTGACTTGGGTCAAAGCATGGCGGACGCTGCGGCTTTAGCGGCATCGGCGACGGAAGAGTTGATCCGCCGGCCGGCACTGAAATCGTGACTTGAGGCTGAGTCCTGGCCGCATTCGTCGCGTCGGGGTGTGTCGTGCCGTGGTCGTCGTCTCCGTCATGGCGGACGACGCCATCACTTGCGGCGCTCGCGGGTTGCCCCACACTTCCGTGCTGTGATGTTTGTGGTGCGCGCTGAATCGGAGTGCCAGGTGCTTGGGATTGTGCTCGTGTGAGGTCGTTTTGCAGGGACGAGCGTTCTGCCGTCAGCGTCGCAATTTCCTCGGCGCTTTCGCAGATTTGTCGCAGCAGATCGTTCAAGTGCTCCCGCGTGAGAGTCGTGACGTCGATGTGTTCAGCCATTTCGAAGGGCGTCAGCTCGTCTTAGTCTAGGCGCAGTCGTGGCTGCACGCGTTTACGAGAGAACGCGAGGACAGCGGCTCCTAGGTGCTAAGGTACGTGAGTCCCTTCGAGTGAAAAAATCAAAAGTTGATTTCCTGGGGTGCGGAGATGCACGGTCCGAAAGAAAGGGGCTCTGAATACCAAGTGTTACGGGTGCAATGAATCGAAGTAGCGAGAATTGCACTAAGGTGTCAAACGAATACAAAGATGTGAGCGAAGGCATGAGCGAACATTTATACGCGAAACATGCAAACGGTAACGCGGTGCGTGCGAGCTAGCTAGTGCTATGCTGGCAGCGAGGCTCGGGCTAGTCCCGAAGCGTAGGCCGACACGGCCGGGCCAGCAGTGCGAGGTTTGGCAAAACAGTGCGCGTGAAGTTGGCGAAGTCCCGCTAGAAGTAACGGGCGAACAACGGCTGTTGCTGTACGCGATGTAGTCGGGCTCCGTAAGGAATGCCGAGAAAATTCCTTACACTCAGCTTCAACCAAGCTCCCTTTCAAACCGTCGCGCTTGACGTCCAGCGCTTACATGCCGCCAGGTGGAGCCGGCGCTAGCGTCGCTTCGGTGGAACCAGACTAGGAGCCCAAACCCTAGAAGCACTCGCTTCAGAAAACACTCGCGCTCCAGGCTATCGCTGACTGATACGTGCCTTTTCGCCATTCATCAGCGACGGCCGACTCAACCGTCAGACTTCTCTCTTGTCACGACCTCGCCGAGGTCGTCCCCATCGCCGCCGTCGTCGAACGTCGCTTAAGCGATGTTGCACGGCGACGAGCAATCAGCAGAATAGCCGTGCATGCCGCGAGTGGTGCACTTGTCGCCACTATGTGCACGGCGCCAGTGTCGCGCGCATCGACTCGTTCTGCATCTCCCCCACTCCGTCCGTCGATATTCCGTGCCTCCCCTGCCTCTGCCACCTTCCAGGTCACGAGCGCTGAATCCGCCGCAATCGCCGCCGCTGAAGACGCCCACCGTGTCGTGTGCTGCTGAAACAATTGGCACGGCGCAACGGCACGCGGCCACGCACGTGCGCGCGAGCAGAGGTGAGCGGTGGCGGCAAAGGGGAGTGCATTGGACCAACATCTGAGTGTGCGCGCGAGCAGAGACGACGAGCATCGAACACGTGCGCGGCGGTGGCGAGGTGCTGGCAGAGACGGGTAGTGCTGGCAGCGACGGGTAGTGCTGGCAGCGACGGGTAGTGCTGGCAGCGACGGGTAGTGCTGGCAGCGACGGGTAGAAGTACGTAGTGATCCCTCCATCGCTCCCTCACTCTTAACACCATTCCACGAATTCCGCTCCTTCTTCCCCACCTTTCCCTCTCGCGCTGCGGCGCACCAAGCACACGCCCGCGAGCAGAAAGGATCGGCGGCGTGGTGCTGGCAGGGACGGGGTGCGTGGTGCTGGCAGGGACGGGGTGCGTGGTGCTGGCAGGGACGGGGTGCGTGGTGCTGGCAGGGCGGGGTGCGTGGTGCTGGCAGGGACGGGGTGCGTGGTGCTGGCAGGGACGGGGTGCGTGGTGCTGGCAGGGACGGGGTGCGTGGTGCTGGCAGGGACGGGGTGCGTGGTTCCCACGTGATGATTGGGCGCCCAGTGGTGATCTTTCCTCTCAGTGGTGATCTTTCCTCTCAGTGGTGATCTTTCCTCTCAGTGGTGATCTTTCCTCCCACTGGTAATCTTTGAATGCCCAGTGTCATTGAATCCACACTCGACTGTTCCGGTCTTTCCCAACCCCTGCTGACTGAAAGACCATCCCATGTTGCAATGGTGGCGTTGGTAGGCGTACGGGGTTGGCAAGGCGAGACCTTAATGCACATGCGCCGGGTGAATGGGCAGACCAACTCCGGGTGCTTTTCCCTGCTGCCCAGGGCTGTGAGTGCCTTCAGCCACCTGGGCCAACGCTTGAGGAGGTGAGGAGGTATGAGAAGAGGTGAGGAATGCTGAGAAAGGTTGCGAGTGTATTGGGTGAGTTGCGATCAGCGGGGCAGGGAGTACCTGCTGCTGTTCACATACTCCCGTCCGTCTCGACTAACCTTTCCGTCCGTGCCTGCGTGACCCACTTGTTTTACTCCACCCATTGATTCCAGTGCCGATGGGTTCAGCTGTTCCCCCCCGTGATGAGTGGCGGCAGCAGACAGCGGTGGGCGAGTGATGCTCAACGTGGTACTCTCCAACACAGCGTCTCAACTAGGCATGCTGCTTCCCCGGCACTCCCTCACGCGGCAACGTCGTGCGCTCAAGCAGGGACCGATGGTGGGTGGGTGGGTGACTGGGATGGGTTTGTGGCATGTGGGGCATTTGTGGCATGTGGGGCATTTGTGGCATGTGGGGCATTTGTGGCATGTGGGGCATTTGTGGCATGTGGGGCATTTGTGGCATGTGGGGCATTTGTGGCATGTGGGGCATTCGTGACATGTTTTGGCATGTGTGGCATAAATGACATTCTTGTTTCCCCATTGCTATATTCCTACCTTTCCCTCACTCCCTCACCCCATTCTCTCATGCTGCTACCACGCTCTCATTCATGGACAATGTTTGGTCATATGGACATCCATCCTTTTGTATTGCTATGTATACTATGGGTAACTGACACCTCTTCCTTCCCACTCAACCCTTACCTCCGCCTTTCTGTTTGCTCTAACAATTGCGCCTCCCAACTGCCCTCCACCAGCCCCTCCTCCGCCAACCTTTGTTCCCAGCCCCAATCTTTGAACCCTCACCAACCCCTGAACCTAAAAATGGTATGGCACATGTGGGTGCGTGCGTGGGTGCATGTGTGGGTATGTAGAGAGATGTATTGGGAAATCGCGCCTGCAGTTTTTGGCACATCGCACGCATTGCCTCTTGTACCCATTGCCTCTTGCACACATTGCCGCTCACACTCATTGCCTCTCGCACTTACTCATCACACCCCACCCCTTGCCTCTCCCTCGTTTTCCCTCTCATTCTTTCTCAGTACCCACTGTACTACGAGATGAAGACAAGATTCATGATATCCAAGTGCAACCTGTTAGCTGCTGCTGCTCCCCACCCGTGAGCAAGGGTGCAGTGCAAGCAGGGTGCAGCAAGACAAGGGGCAGCAACAGCAGGGCTCCAGACAGCAGCGCTTTTGCTGCAGGGCTACTGCATGGAGAAGAGCCAGTGCAGGGAGCATATGGGGCAAAGAGCATAGGAATAGCAGCAGCATGCGTGGCAGCAGTTGAAGGCACACACATGGTAGGGGAAGGCAGAGACATGGCAGGGGAAGGCACAGGTAATGATGTGGAGTGAAAATTCCACTCCATGCTTCAGACTCTGCTCCGTCCTTCCTTACAGAACACGCTTCTTCCCACATGCACCCTCACTCAACCATGTTTCCTACAGGTGCATGCCATTCATTGGTTGTCTCATCCTCTGTCTCTTCCCCTGTGTTCTATCTCAGCATTCTTCTCCCCCCTTGTACCCGTGCTCCTGTGCCAGTTGGTGCACGCCATACAGGCTATGTTGTGTGCTCACTCATTCCTGCCTGCACCTCATCTCACCCCGCGCACCGCCACACCCTACCAAGCCCTTGCATGAGTAGTTCGTCTGCCGTACATTGTGGTAATGCTGTTGCCACATTCGCGACTTCATTTGCAATGTGTCACCATACAAACACAATCACCGTATCAACCAAGCACCGATACAAAACATTTCTTTGGGGGGTTGCTTAAGCGACATTGAGACAAGCTGCTGGATTACACAAACTTGGTGCAAAAGGAAAATAGCGGAACTGGTAAAGCGCTCAACCACTTGGCTTATCTGCCAACCAGCCCTACGTGTTGCATTGCAAGAAAAGCACTGCTTTTCCCCAAGAAGAACATCAGACAAACTTGATTACTTTTCCGGCTGCGATGCGTCGACTCCATGGATGGTAAGAAACCTTCCCCTGAAAATCCCAGGAGTCTTAATCCTAGCCTTGCCCTTTCCAATCCTCACTTTCTTCTTGCCCCATCCAATCTTCATTTTGTTCTTGCCCTTTCCAATCTGCATTGCGTTCACCTGAGTCGTCGCGTCCACAATTTCCTCCTTGCCCACGCTGCGACCATTCACGTCCTTCAGATTTGACGCTTTCGCAATGTCGTCCTCCTCGTAGACGCCGTCGAGCATCTGAGCGCGAAAAAGCTTGGTGAAGGGGTCGACTTCACCGCGCTTCAGGCCCGTTTTCACCATCATGGCGAGCGCGTCCGGGGCTGAGGAGGCAATGGCGCGGTCCTCCGGTAACATGAAGGTTTTGTGGTCGACCTTTTTTAGGAAATCCTCATTTGGGTTCCAGTCGGTCTCTGCATCGTCATGTAGAAAACAGAAGCAGTGTCAAGCCAAAGGACACAACGAAATTCAGTAGTCCTACCAGGGAACGAAACAAAACCGGCGTGCATAACTTGCAGGAAATGCTGCAGGGTTTACCCAGTTGAGGGATGACGTGGTCAAGGAGCGTGCGGGTGGCGTCATATCGGTTGTTCAGCTTGGAATTCGAAAGCGCGTCTCGGGTCAACTTTAATTCGTCAATGAAGTCCTCCTTGGTAGGCCGCGCCGCAGCAGGCGCCAGCAGTGACGCGAGCGCGCAGAGGGCGAGAACGGAGAGTTGCCACGACGCCATGGCGCGAGTTGAATGTATCCTCAGCCTCCTATGCTCGATCCTAAGCCGAGTGCTGGTTTCAGTCTTCAGCATTTGCAACGTCGAGTGATATTACGAATGTGGGAAGAGAGCCAAGTGGTGAAATTTATCAGTCTGTTGGAGTCTCCAAATTCTGGCAGTCGATGAACCCGTGGAAACGAATCAAGTTCAGCACCACCTCGTTCGAAAAACGAAAAGACGTTAGTGGTGACATGATTTCGCAGCCAATAAGGCTAGTGCACTTAGCCTTGCGAGAGACGAAATTTTGCCACCGCACCAAATGTTTCCCGCCAAAACTTTTGGTGGGGTTCCGTCTGGTGCGGGCAGGAGATATTTGCGCCCATCTGGGTGATGGGTAGTGTTGCGGAATTCAGGTGGTTAGGGGAGGTGGTGATTCAGGTTTATCGCGCGAATCTAGGCTCGCCAAGCTGGCTTGCCCCTGGGAGGTTTGGAGTAGGGAAAGTACATCCCAGCTCCTTATTTTACCGTATGACTTTATGGGATTTTGCTCACGCGAGGCCCAAATTGCTCATATAACCAAGGATCCAGTGGATAGGATAGAATCTGTTAAGTCTGAGAGGAGACAATGAAGTCTCTGTAGTGACCTTGTTGAGTAATAATTGAAAGAGAACAAGATGATTGAAAGATAGGAGTACAAGAGATTAAGTAGAAATCTAGCTAGCCATGTACTCTGAGGGGTACATTCCCTTATTAACTGTATTGCATAGCTACAGTAACCGTGACTATTGCTATCCTCGACAGTTACCATGTTGCAGTGAATTAACTGTCGCGCGGTTACTGGATTGTCAAGGGTCACGACCGTTGACTTCCTCAGGCGGTTGACCTTCGGGTGACCCTCGACATTCCGCATGCTCTATATGAGCTATTGCGGTACTGGTACAGTGGAACAGCTTCGGGAATGATTTATATGACCTTTCGGTTGTTCCAACACAAATTATGTTCAAAACTGGTCCTGCTGGGCAAACTTTTCGGCACGTGTCCATTTTACGCGTCATATATTTTTCGACGGGGCAAAATACTAAAACCCTGAGAGAACCATGACACATTTTTGGGAGGGATCTGCTAGAAAGGCATAGTGCCAGCGTAGCGGAAACGTGTTTGTAGAAAAGAACAAGATAGAAATCTTGCATTGATCATTGAAAAGTAGAATGTGTGAATCAAGAAAACAGGAATGGATGAACTATGAATGAATTGGGTACAAGTACTAACCCTAATTGGGTTGTACCCCTTATGGAGTACCCCACTATAGCCTACACAATATGCATGAGCTATGATGTTCTGACACACCCCCATAGGCAAAGTGGGGGAGAACAAGGGGTCACAAGACCAGTCAAGCAAAGCAAAGCAAAGCAAGCTCAGGGTGGATCACAAAGTCACCACACATTCCGAGCACAAGTTCAAGGCCACAAGGCCAGTTCACAAGCAGGAGTACACATATATATAAAAAGGCTAGACAAGCACGAGCAGGTATATATATATGTAACAGTACAAGCAAGGTCAAGAGGTGAGCAAGTGAGGCAAGGTAGGCACAAGGCCCAGCTGAGTACAGAAGCGCTGATGGTCACAAGGCGCAAGTGCCTTGGTGAAGATATCAGCAGTGTTGGCCTCAGAGGCCACGTACGCAAGACGCAGCTGACCACGCTGCTGCAGCTCACGAGCAAGAAAGTAGCGGAGAGCAATGTGCTTCGTTCTGTGCTCCAGTCGCTGCTCCCGACACAAGGCCAGCATGGCCTTGTTGTCTACGTACAGCACTGGAGGAGAACGAGGCAACTCTCCGAGGTCAGTCAGCAGGTAGGTGAGCCAGCGAAGCTCCTGTGCAGCCATGGCTCCTGCGTAGATCTCAGCCTCACAACTGGAGCCGAGAACAGAAGACGAGCGAGTAGCCCGCCACGAAACAGAGCCGGAACCAAGGCTGAAGGTGT